GGGGTTTGGGTGTTGGTTGTGGGGATAAAATGAGCTTTTGGGGGTTGGTTATGTGGAATAAAGGGGTTTGGGTGTTGGTTGTGGGGATAAAATGGGATTGGGGTGTTTTGGGGATGGTTAAAAAGGGATTTTGGGGGTTGGTTATGGGGGAATAAAGGGGTTTGGGGGCAGAAGGGGTTGAACCCTCTCTAACCCTAATTGCAGCCCCCCCAGAAGAGGAACCCCAGAGCTGCCCCCAGAGCTCAGCCCTGCAGCGCCCGTACCGCTGCGATGTGTGCCAGCAGGATTTCTCCTTCACCCCCACCCAGATCCTCCGGCACCGACGGCAGCACCGCTGATGGGAGAAACCCCAAATGGATTTGGGACATCCCGTATGTCAAAAAAGGGGGGACTGGGGTTTTTTTGGGTTTTTTTTTTTGGGAAATAAATGGGTTTTTGGAGGAAGAGCGCAGCGCGTCGGAACGCTGCTCTAGCATTGCTGAGGGAGAGACAGAATTCATTAAAAGACCCCAAATGACCCCAAAATTGACACCACGGATTGTGACGTCACCAAGAATGTCCTAAAAAATACAACATAGCCCAAGGGAGGACCCTGAAAAAGACCCCAAATCGTTGAAAGGTGACTTGAAATGTGCAGTGTTGGCAATGGTTGACCCCCAAAACTGCTGACTGGGACCCAAGGAACCCAACACTGCCATCAGGTGACCAAAAAAACCCCAAATCTCCAACAGGTGACCCAGAAACCCCAATATTGTTGTTGGATGACCCCAAAAAACCCTAAAATCAACCACGGTTGACCCCAAAACTCCAACATCGTCTGCAGTTGATCCCCAAATCTCCAAAATTAGGAATGGGTGACCCCAAAAAAAACCCCAACGTTGCCATTGGGTGACCCAAAGGACACCAAAATCAACGTGACCCCACAGAAAACCCAGTAGTGCCATTGGGTGACCCAACAAAACTCCAGGATCGCCAACAGATGACCCAAACAAACCCCAAAACCACCATTTCTGACCCCAAAAACCCCCATATCACCAACGAATGACCCAAACAAACCCCAAAACCACCATTTCTGACCCCAAAAACCCCCATATCGCCAACGGATGACCCAAACAAACCCCAAAACCACCATTTCTGACCCCAAAAACCCCAATATCGCCAACAGATGACCCAAACAAACCCCAAAACCACCATTTCTGACCCCAAAAACCCCAATATCACCAACAGATGACCCAAACAAATCCCAAAACCACCATTTCTGACCCCAAAAAAACCCAATATCGCCAACGAATGACCCAAACAAACCCCAAAACCACCATTTGTGACCCCAAAAACTCCAGTATCGCCAACGGTTGGTCCAAACAAACCCCAAAACCACCATTTCTGACCCCAAAAACCCAACGGATGATCGAAACAAACCCCAAAACCACCATTTGTGACCCCAAAAACCCCAATATCGCCGACGGATCACCCAAACAAACCCCAAAACCACCATTTCTGACCCCAAAAACCCAACGGATGACCCAAACAAACCCCAAAACCACCATTTGTGACCCCAAAAACCCCAATATCACCAACGGATGGTCCAAACAAACCCCCAAACCAACATTTCTGACCCCAAAAAACCCAATATCACCAACGGATGGTCCAAACAAACCCCAAAACCACCATTTCTCACCCCAAAAACCCAAAGGATGATCCAAACAAACCCCAAAACCACCATTTGTGACCCCAAAAACCCCAATATCGCCGACGGATCACCCAAACAAACCCCAAAACCACCATTTCTGACCCCAAAAACTCCAATATCACCAACAGATGACCCCAAAAAAACTCAATATTGCCATCAGGTGACCCCCCAAAAAACCCCAAATCACCCACAGTTGACCTCAGATCCCCCAAATGCCATGGAAAATCACTTTGGAACCACAAATCTTTATCTTTTTTCCCCCCCAGCTCTGATAGACGAAGGCTGGATCGCGTTCGTTATCGCCGCCTTCGTTATCAGCCCCCGCCACGGGTCATTAGCGTGGCATGGGGGGGGCTGTGCTGCTAATTAAACTCATTTAATGCTGCTAATTTGTAGCTGTGCAGCCGGAAGAATCCTCATCACTGAACGACGTCGTGACGATTTTGGGTAACGATGCGCTGCGAGAACAGAACGCATTGGGGTTTTAATTAGGGTTGTTTTGGCTTAATTATGCAAAGTTAAGCTTCGCTGGCTGCAGAATGGGGGGAAAAATGGGGAGTTTGGGGTTTTTTTTTCCTTTAAAAATGGATTTTTTTTCCCCCCTTTTTGGCTTCTCTTCTGTTCTCCTTGTTGGGATGAATATATCTGCGATTAATTAGCAGATAAATTAGCAGAAGTGGGTCACTGCCACCCGGCCCCCAGAAATTAATTAAGCCGGAGGTTTTAAGCAGCTTAATAGTTAATTTTTGGGGAGGGAAATGCAAATTTTTGGCTCCTCCTCCATCACTGCTCCCTTTCCACCAGCGTTTGTGGCTTTTTTTGACGTCGCCAACCCAAACTTTGCTGGATTTCTGTGATTTGTCCTCATTTTTTTCCAGTCATAGAGGATG